TTAATTTTTTTAAAAAAGAATATAAATTAAGTGTAAATCGCTGCTTTTACAGCGATTTGATTTTTTTTAAAAAAAACTAATTAAAAAACGCTGCCAATGATTTATTTTTTTTTAAAAAAATTTGAATCAATTTTTTTTTAAATAAAGCAAAAAATATAAAAAAAAATTGATGAAAGTCGCTGCAGAAGCAGCTACTTATACAATTTTTTTTTTGAAAATCGCTCCGTGTGGAGCAATTTGTTTGATTTTAATTTTTTTTTAAAAAACAAATTTAAGAAATCGCTGCAATGGCAGTGATTTCACTTTTTGAGAAGGCAAAAACCGCTACATGATGAGCGATTTTACCGTTTTGATTTTTAAAAAAATTTGATATGCCCTTTTAGAATTTTTGACAATTTTTTTTACTTTTTTAACTCCACACTCTATTACTATGTAAGCCCAAAGCCATAAAAAAAAAACTTTCTTTAATGTTTAAATTAAAAAAGAGAAAAAAAAACTGGATCTAACTCTGTTATCTGAAAGGGGTAAACAAAATTCACCATTGAAGTAGCTTAAATCCCATTGAAGAAGAAGAAGAATTAAAGAAATGGTAAGGTTCATTTTCTTTGTAATCTTTGGCATTGTTGTTAAAAATTTGTAAAATTATCTTCCATTTTTGGTTCTTGATTCATAAAAAAAAAAAATTGCTTCTTTTTTCACTGTAAATTGTCAGTTATAGTGGAGTGGAGCTCTTTCCCTAATTGGGAAGTAAAAAAGATTCAATCTTTATGAGTCTATGTATATATATACTTCAAGTATCTAATTATTTTGTTGCTGCTACTGTTTTGTGTTTGTTTTATATACTTATGTTTTAATTGAGCTGAGTGTTTATCGAAAACAATTCTCTACCTTTATAAGGCTGTGTATACCCCACCCTCATTAGACTCCGCTCGTGAGATTACATAGGGTGTGTTGTTGTTATTGTATATATATATGTATTTATACCAAGTGTGTGTAATGGTACTTGGCTATCCCTAAGTTTGATTTGTGTCCTTGTTTATTGTCAATGTGAATATTTGTACTCAAGAATAAAAGAAGAAATGAGAAGGTTTGTTTTCTTTGTACTGCTTGACATTGTTGTTAACAACTTAGATTAACCTCCCATTTTCTTAGTTCAGAAAACAATGCTTCTTTTTTCACTGTAATAGTCAGCTACTATGGAGTTCTTTGCCTAATTTGGGAAGTTTAAGTTGATTCAGTTTCGATAAGTCTATGTACGTATAGCAAGTAGTTACGCATCATCATAGTGTGTATAATGGTGTACTCGGCTCGCACTTGCTTAAATTTGTGTTCTTGAGCATGGTCAATGTGCATGTTTGTACTCGAGATTAAAAGAGGAAAATTTTATTCTTAAGTGAGTGTCACGGGTTTTAGAGAACATACGGAAATGTTACTGCAAATGGAACATATTCAAGGATATTCTGATAAAGATGGAGAGACCGGTTCGTTCATGATATTACATAATTGTTGTCTATCTAATAACTCAGAGGCAAATTCAAGGTTTGAAAAGAGTGAGTGCAGAACTACAGCCACTACTCTAGTGACATTGGGACCAAGTAGAACTTTTTGGTTATATATTTTTGTATGTAGTTCAGCTGCATTTATCAAAAAGTATATCGTTCCAGCAGCATCAGCTGAAAAAAATGTAGATGTGCCTATGTCGGTATGGTCTTTCTCTTAGGTTTGATAAGTGTTTCAACACTGTAGATAGCTACTATTCTGGGATTCCGCTGCATGTTTAGTTGCAGTTCTGCATATGCAGCTTAAGGTCTATGATTGGATTGATTAGTCTGGTACACAAACATCTCTGTTACTCAATCCATAGATGTATAACAAATTGTGTAGATGTATTCTGTTGGAAGGAGGATGTCCACTATGTATAAAAAAAAAACCCTGTGTGTAGTAGTTAATTGTTTGATAAGCAGTCTCCTTTACTCATCTTGCCACGCCGGATAACCTTTAAAGTTCACGAAAACTGACTTTCATTTGCTCCGCACTCCATTGAAAGGTGGTTAGTTGATTGAGTTTTAAGTTGTAACGATCTTTTTGACTTATTTAAAGCAGTAACTCTTCTTCCTTCCCAATTTCATCCTTCTCTTGCCAGTGGATAAAGAATTTTTCCATTTTCAAGTTCTCGAACCAGACATGAATCTTTCATTTATTTGGCTCTCAAGCTCAATTACTTAGGTAAATTCTCATATCTTTTCTTATGAATTAATTAGCCTATATTCTCTTCCTTGTTCATATCCAAAAATGTTTTGAAATTAAAGTAAGAGCCAAAATATTTGGAGGATTCTTCTGACAAAATATAAAATACTCCATATATAATTGTCAGCAAAGTTTTTCTTTTTTCTAATCGGGAGAGCTCTGCTTACTTGTCATCGATTCAGTATTGGATAAAGGGGGTAAAATCCCCGTTTTTACAATAATTGGTTTAAATCATTTTATTATTGTGAGTACCATATATCAATGAAATTTTTATTTTTGAGACCACCTCTATATAAACATAGTGGTAGAAATGAGTATCATGCTGCGTCTAGACTTTAAAGAGTTTTTTTTAACCATGTTAATAGTCCCACTTAGTTTGAGATAGTCTGACTATTATATGGTCAATGTACTTATGCCGATAGAGATCAAAATATTTGAGAGTGGCAGTACTATCCATTAGCTGACCTCCCATGTTGTGAACATCCAGTGTCAATATGCAAAGATTTGAGCTCAACTTCCTTCCTCTAAAGCTCATACTCAAAAATTTGATATTAACGCCAATGAAAATGAGGGCATGCATGTCCCGTGGTTTGATTAGACTGTTGACTAAGACATGCATCCGGTTGCACCTAATCATGTTGGACTAACTTGGTGCTGACGAGGTAATGATGTGACTATACCTTAGTGCTGCTGACTAACTATGACATGGTGTTATTTGGGGAAGATGAATGCTAACTTGACATTCTGGGTGGAATAGATTGATGATATCATTTTGAGAAAAATGCGGACTGATGACTTGATAGGTAACATCTGGTTCACAAAATTGTTGGTGCATGAGATATGTGGTACAGATGCCCCTTTGAACTTGAGCCTTTTTGCTATTTTATTCACATAATGAAAGTAAACTCTTGGTGTAACAAGGGTGAACGGGAGAGCGACTTATTCTATCCATTTTTGCAAATTCGACACTCCCTCCCACAACCTCCCCAAGTGCACATATATGTGAAGAAATCTACATAGAGGATATGGACAATTTAGAATAATGGTAATTCAAAGAGCTTAAGTAACAAAGCCTGTCTAGTATTTAACCTTGGAATTCCGTGCTATTTGTTACCTTATCTGCTATGTGCCGTTATCCTATAGACGCCTCCCTTTCCTGCGTTAAATTCACTTATTTGATGCTTTTGATAGGAAAAGGAAGCAAAGAAAGAAGGTTTCAGGAAGTATTTGGAGGCCAGTGGAGTTCTTGATGCTCTAACCAAAGGTGGTCTCTAATTACTTCCTAAGTTAGTTTGAATGCTCACCTTTTATCTTCGTTTTGTTTTTCATTGGAAAGATCTTGACCACATTTTATACGTTTTTCCTGTCATTGTAGTCCTTGTTGCACTATACGAGCAGAATGACAAACCTTCTTCAGCTCTCGAGTAAGTTTTCTTAAAAAAGTACCGAACTCTGTCACATCCCATGATACAAGGTGCATGTTGAGTTCGATTTGGACTGTGTCTATGTGAAAATTGCCTTCAAAGCAAAATGTTGTAACTATAGTGTTCAGGTTGGCTGAAAAACTGCTCATATCATGGTTTCATTTAAAAAATACACATGCATATTAATAGGTGCAAAGCGTTTTCTCGAGTGTCTTCTTATAATCTCATGGTTGTGCTGATTATTGTTTTATGGTCTTTCTTTGTCAGAGAACTTATATTAAACGATCGTTTGGTTTCTGATCTCTCAGATTTGTCCAGCAAAAATTAGGCGGTCCATCACTCTCTGAATATGAAAAGCTACAAGCCGAGTTATCAGAGCTGCAAATCAAATATAATAAACTTATAAAAGAAAACCAAGAAAGATGCAAAGAGGTATGACTTTGGTTCACTGTAATATCTAAGCTCTCTAGAAGTTCAAATGATTGTTTTTGTTGCGTCGATCTACAAATGCACCAGTCCATAGGTGTGGTGAATGAGAATGCTAAATGAGGATGAGGTAGACCTAAAATCACATAAAAGGAACTTGTCTCGAAAGATATACAATGACTTAGCCAAAGGACGAGGCACCATGAACTAGAAAGATTTTAGTCTACTAGTTTAAGAATTGATTTTAGTCTTGTTTGGTACAATGAGGACACTGAGTTGAGCTAAAACGGAGAAGTGAGGATTCATATAGCTGACACTGATATGTTTGAACTTAGACATAGTAATCGTTGTGTTAACGTTGTATATTTTTATTGTTGTTGCAGTTGGAGGAATTGAAACACACACAAGTAGAAGCATCAGCTAATAAGGAGCTTGACGTAGGAACTACTCATGATGATGAACTCAATACAGATGTAGTGAAGTTTTAAAAATGCCTTTAAAAGACTTCAATTTTTTTTTTGAATAGAGGAAGTTTGATATGTAATGACGATAGGTCAAAAATCACGTGTCTACAACTGATACCATCTTCTAATTCTTGAGTAATATATTGTACATGGCTTCGATATCATGGAGCTTGCCCATACATAATTTTTAATCTCTCCGACAAAATGATCAATCATAAATTTCAAATTCTGGCTCGCGTTTTGCAAAATGACCCTAATGGTGTTGCTTCATATAGCAACACTAACACATTTCTATTCATGTGTTATTCTTGTCAAAAGTAACCCTTTTCCAATCATTGCAATTACTTAAATAAAAAACAACTACGCATCAGTCTCAAATAAGATTTGACTAAATAAATCCTTCTCTCACTTCTTTGTATATACTCATTTGAAAATGGAGATCAAGAAGTGAAACACAATATACAAACATGATAATTCCACGAGTCGAAAACCAAAATCATGAAGGAGTGGATACATATCAAATATTCCGAGCATATACTAGACGTGTCAAATGGACGGATCGAGCCTTAAATGAAGAAGGGCAGGGTGAGCCCCAAGTCCTCTAGAGTTGTAATAAGTCACATAATCTCTCACTGTTGTTTCTTTGTACAAAGCATGATTTTCATCAGACAACAATTCCTTTATTGGGCCATAAAGTGTATCAAATGGCTGAAATTGAGTTGTGAAGAAACATGCAATTGATATCCTTGGCCCAATATGTTTTGACAATACTCTATGCTCAGCACTTTTGAACTTGTCATTTGATAGAAGCTGCAAAAAATGAGTTTAAGTTATATACATCGTTTGATATAATTTCATTTACACCATCATGTATACAATAATATACTGAAAACGATGTGTTCAGTATAACCTATCCTAACACTTTAGATTCGCCTCTTGATCAAAATCACTAGTGACTAGAACAAATGTAAATCTATTTTAGAAGAATTAACTTAAACAATCGTCTATAAAATCATTCATTATGTATAATTCATGTATATTATGTATGTATATCTATGTATATAAACTTTAAAACGTAAACAGTAAATCTGACCGACTAGATATACTTGCCTGCATAAGGTCACCAAGATTGATAACTAGGGCTCCAGTAACAGGATGAATATCAATCCATTGATTTTGGTGATTAATTTGAAGCCCACCAATTTGATCTTGTAGAAGAATTGTGAAGAAATCTGGATCAGTATGTTTTGTGATTCCAAGAGTCTTATTGGGCTCAGGACAAGGTGGATAGTAATGACAGAGAATGAAATGGCCCCTTGCACAGTCCAGGCCCAATAAGTGATTGGGCTTAAGCCCAAGTGCCTCTGCTAGTAACTCAAATATTGTATGGCCCAACTTTCTAACATGTTGAGAATATTGAAGTAATTCCTCCCTGATAAAAAACAAAAAAAATAAAAAAGTTCGGTTTTAATTTATTTGTCTTATTTTGACTTGACATAAAATTTAACAAAATAAATAAGACTTTTGATTCTTGTGATTTTAAATTAAAAAAAAATATAAAACATACAAAAAATGTCATGTAATCTTACCGTGTTAAACTGTCATGCAGAAAGTTGAAATTAATTTTTTTTTAAATAAATAATAACCGGCATTCTTTTAAGGCAGACTAAAAAAAAGGGAAACTTACATAAATATACTATAATAAAAAAATATTTACCATTTATAGCAATAATATATTTTTTTTCACTTAATCAGTTTTAATTCATTTATAATACAAGTTTAACACATATTACAAACAACAATTTATTATTCACATATAATACAAGTTTTAATGATGGATAATACATTTATCACACATTTTAATACATTTATAATACAATGTGTCAAATTTTTACCAAACAAATATAATATATTTAAAAAAACAATTCTAATTCATATATATTGCATACATAATTCACTTTTAATTCATATTGCATATTTAACATAATATTGCTATAAATGGTAATAAATAAAAAATGTTACTAAAATTAGTAATTATTTATTAAAATGTACCAATTTATGTAATTTTTCCAAAAAAAATTCCAACCTCAACTCACCTTTTTTTTTAAAAAAAATAATTAAAAAAGAGGTACCACTAACTAATTAATTTTTTTAAAAAAAGGTACCACTAGCTAATTAATTTAGAAAAAGGTATTTTTAGTGGCTTAGTTTAAAGTCTAGACTCTTCCCACTTCAATTTGAGAACAAGTTCGATATTCGATAGTTTAATTTATTTAATTTTCATAGTAAAATTAATATTTTTAAATTTAATATATAAATATTTAAAATTATATAAAATATTATATGTGTGGTAGAAAATCCATTGATATGGTCATCTTCAATCCTTTAATTAGGAATGAATATAGAACAAATAAATTATAGAGATTTTTGACTAGCTTCTTTATGCCATCATAAAATATTAATCAAAATTCACAGAGTTAAAATTTTAAAAATTAAACAGTATCACGTAAATTAAAAGTGAGAAATAAATTATATTCTAAACAATCAACAAAGAGGGTTTTAGCTAAAAAAAAAATTACCTACACGCTTGTGGTAATTCATCATTAGTAGGTGGATTAGGAGCCATAACACAAGCTAAACTATCCCTCCAATTAGTAGCTTTAGATGAATAAAGATCAAAATTACTATTAAATTTCACTTTCTTCAAATTATCCCTTGAATAAAACTCCATCTTTTTCTCACTTGATTGTTCATTAAATTTTTTAACTCCACTAATCATCTCATCCATAACATGTTGTGGCACACCATGATTCACAACTTGAAAAAATCCCCAACTCTTACATGCCTCACCTACCTCTTCAACAATTCTCGTACGTCGAAAATCGTCTTCATTCATACCCTTCAGATCTATAACTGGGATCTGAACGTTAACTATGTTTGAATCTGAATCAAGATTCTCAGCACTGAACTCATTTTCTATTAAGGTCGGTGTGACAAAGATCTCGGGAATATGAACTATTCCTGAATCGACTAGTCCTTTTACACCAGCCTTTGTGTCATCGAAGGCCTTGAGATCTTTTGCTCGATCATAGTTTGCCATTTTTTATTTTATTTTTGGTAAGAAGAGAGTTATAAAATATGTTAAAAGTTTTTGATTATTTTGTAGATCTATAAATAGGAATAGGAGATAAGGGAGGACAAAATGGACAAAGAACGTGTCTTATTTATTTCCACATGCAATTGATTCGAATTTATTAGCTCAATTGGCCGGCGGTTTGAAAGTATTTCACTTTGTTGGTAAGGATTTGATTTCCCGCATTGTAATTTCACAAAATTGTTATATCCTGTATCAAATTAGTTATCTTATTTCGCTTCTCAAAAATCAATTAGATTACTTGTCGTATTTTACTTTTTTTCGAAAATCAATTTATTTGTTTTTTTGTAATTAAATTAATTTAATATCTTATATTTAAATTTATATATTCGAATTACTTTTCATTATAATTTTTTTCATGTCAATTTAATATAAATATATAGATTTAAAATATCAATCAAAATTTATTTCGTTTGACTCTCCGAAAAACTAAAATATCTCTTACTTTATCTTGTTAATTTAAAATTGAAATATAATATAAGAGAGAACATAAAAGACAAATATATAACTAATTTATTTAGTCATCATATTGACTTGGCACCTACTTTGGAATCCGATAAAGAGTAGTATTTAATTAAGGGGTCTTTTGATTAATGGGACAAAGAATAATAATTTTGACATAAAATGTGAATTGTTTGATTAGATCAAAAACTTTATATATTATATTATTAAAATAAAAGCTTTGTTTAAATATTATACACCTCTCAGTTTCTCTAGTGTAAAATATTTATTCCCTTTCGAATATATATATTCCTCCGTTCTCGGATACAGTGATGAAGCCATAATTTATAATAAAGGGATTTAAAATTTGAAAAGTAAACACACGAACTAGTGGAAGAGGACTCAACATCTATTATATATACCTAAACAAATAATTTTAACCATGTATAAATACTATTATATATACCTAAACAAATAATTTTAACCATGTATAAATAGTAAATATTTTCCGTCGAGTGGGTTCAAATGAACTCCATAAGTATATGTTGCCTCCGCCCGTGCTCGGATACTTTCCTATCCCCTCATGAATAACCCTCCTGATCACAGAGACGAAGTCAGGATTATGAGTTCTAAATTTTAGAATGCAACAGAAAAATATTATTACAATAGAGTTTGAACACACAATACTAGTGTGAAAAAAGTATTCTCACCGTTGTTCATTACCATTAAGCTATCAATCAATTTTGTTAGAAGGTTTACAAGTTAATATACATATATATATATATATTCATTTAATTTTCTAATATAAATATAGAGTTTACGAAAAAGCTAATGGGTTCGTCCGAGCCCATGTACTCCTACCTAGCTCCGCCTCTACAGTTTTATATACATCTCTCCCATTAAATAATGTATCATTCACAAAATTCAAAAAATATATATGAGAATAATAAATAATTTAATATTTTTATAATTAAAGAAACTTTTAAGATATGATGTAATTATAAATCGTGGAGATTTCTCGAAGTTTGATGATGTGCAAGAGTAGTAGGGGAGTCATATAAGAATCATAAATACTTTAGCAAAATTCAAGACTTAGCCAATTTAGCAATTTCAACATTCATTTCAAATCATAGAGTACTAAATCACGCATTTTGATCTTGTCCTGTACGAATATAAAATTTTATTTAATATGATATCTTAAAAAAATATTTTTTTATTCTTATTATTTGTTCATTTTTTTTAGTTGTCTAAATTGCTAGTTCATTTTGACAAATCAAGAAAAAATAATTTTTTTACCTATTAAACCTCAATTAGTTATATTGAAAATGATAAAATTTCTTGAAAATCTTAATTTTTTAATTCATTCTCTTCATAATTAATAAGGATAAAATGATAAATTCGTTATATTAATAATTATTTTCTTAGGTATATTAATTTAAAAGTAGATAAGTAGATATCGATGTTCTTAAAAATTGTTATTAAGGTGCCAAATATATTCTTACTTTATTGCATAAAAGATATCGATCTTCTTAAAAATTGCTATTAAGATGCCAATTTTTCTTTGGTAATTCCATAAAGCTATTTTGAAAAGCAAGTAAAAATGTAGTTTATGAATCTTTATTACTTGCCGATTTGACAAATCAAGAAATGATAAAGCATTTGTTTTATTTAAGAATATGTTATGCTTTTGATTATTTTGTAGATCTAAAAAATCACATAAATACATAACTTAAGATATTTAAATTTCATACCATTTTTAAAAAAATTACAAAAATTCCTTCTTGAATTTATCTATATCTCTCTTCCGTACATCCCTATCCCCTCTCAGATACATCCCTTTCCTCTCAGATACATCCCTGTCCACCTCGAATACATCCCTCCCCTCTCATACATATCTCTGTCCCCCTCAAATATATCCGTATTCCCTTATGGATACATCCTTATCTATTCGCGGACACATCTCCATTCAGTAATATATCAATCGCAATGTATCAGACAATTAAGGAATGTATCGAGAATAATGAAAAATTCAAAAAATTTACAATTGGGGAAAACTTTAGAGATATGATATAATTTGCCTCCAAATATGTGAAATTTCTCTAAGTTTGGTGCAGGAGACGAGTAGTAAAGGAGTCATATATAAGAATCATAAATACTTTAGCAAAGTTCAAGCTTAGCCAATTTAGCAATTTCGACATTCATCTCAAATCATGGAATACTAAATAATGCAGTATTGTCCTGCACTGACATAAAATTTTATTTAATACAATATCTTAAAAACTTACAAGATAACTTAATCGAAGTTCGTCATTTCTCAAATCGTATTCTATTATAACTCATGCCCAAGCGAACCCTAAAAACTTGAATCACACATGGTAGCCTTGCAAGTGAAATAATATACACTTTTCCATCCTAGATTTTTAAATGAAGAAGTGAAGGAAGAGCACCAAGTCCTTTGGAGTTGTAATATAACACATAATCTTTTACTGTTGTTTCTTTGTATAAAGCATGATTTTCATCAGACAACAATTCCTTTATTGGGCCATAAAGTGTATCAAATGGCAAAAGTTGAGTTGTGAAGAAACATGCAATTGAAATCCTTGGCCCAATATGTTGTGCCAATACTCTATGCTCTGCACTTTTGAACTTGTCATTTGATAGAAGCTGCCAAAAATGAGTTTAAGTTATATGTATCGTTCGATATAATTTTCTTATACCATCAAGTCACACAAGAGATATCCTTATAATGTATACTATTATTCACGATTTCTCGCATATAATACGTCAAATCAAACTCACTACTAACACTCTAGATTCACCTCTGATAAGTCCATATCACTAGTGAATAGACATATGCAATTTGTTTTCGATATACTTACCTAAAAAAAAAGACAGTGAATCTATAATTCATTTATAATATGTATGTATATCTATGTATATCAACTTTAAAAAGTAAACAGTGAATCTGTCCGATTGGATACACTTGCCTGCATAAGGTCACCAAGGTTGACAACTAGAGCACCATTCACAGGATGAATATCAATCCATTGATTTTGGTGATTAATTTGAAGCCCACCAATTTGATCTTGTAGAAGAATTGTGAAGAAATCTGGATCAGTATGTTTAGTGATTCCAAGAGTCTTATTGGGCTCAGGACAAGGTGGATAATAATGACTAATTATGAATTGGCCTTTTGCACAGTCCATGTCCAATAAGTGATTGGGCCTAAGCCCAAGTTCTTCTGCTAGTAACTCAAATATTGTAAGGCCCAACTTTCTAACATGTTGAGAATATTGAAGTAATTCCTCCCTAACAAAAGGACAAAAAAAACAAAAGTCAGAAATTTGTGGTTTGCGAGCTATAGCACAAGAGGGGTATACTCAGTATAATAGATGTATCCGACGAATCGTAACTATGAATTTCCTTAGAGGTTCCACAAAATAAACATTTTCTGCCGAAGTTTCACTCCAGAAAATAGAGTTAATGCAGAAAATATTTAACATTGACAGTTGAACATATATATCAAATAAGGTATAATTAGTAGAAAATTACCTACATACTTGTGGTAATTCATCATTAGTAGGAGGATTAGGAGCCATGAGACAAGCTAATGTATCCCTCCAATTTGCAACCTTAGCTTGATAAAGATCAAAATTACTATTAAACATCACCTTCTTCATAGGATCCATTGAGTAAAACTCCTCCTTTATATCATTTGGTTGCTCATGAAAACATCTAATTCCACCAATCATCTCATCCATAACATGTTGTGGCACACCATGATTCACAACTTGAAAAAATCCCCAACTCTTACATGCCTCACCTACCTCTTCAACAACTCTCCTACGTTGAAAATCGTCTCCATTCATATCCTTTAAATCTATAACTGGGATCTGAACGCTGACTATGTCTGAGCCTGAATCGAGATTTTCAACACTGAACTCTTTTTCTGTTAAGGATGGTGTAATGAAGATCTCGGGAATATGAACTATCCCTGAATCGACTAGTCCTTTTACACCGGCCTTTGTGTCATCGAAAGCCTTGAGTTCTTTTGCTCGATTATTGTCTACCATTATTTTTTCTTCCAAAATGTTAGTGAATGTACTAAGCTTTTAATTATTTCGTAGATCTAAAAATAGGAGTAGAAGATAAGGAGATACAAAAAGGGACAAAGCAATATGTGTCAAATTTTCTTTTTAATTTACACGTTGATTCGAATGAGACACATGTAGGATATTTTTAAATTATTTGAGCTCTTTGGACTTGGTGACCAAGCAAAAATTTCTACCTAATTTGTTTGTCATATTGACTTGAATTATGTACTCCCTCCGTCAACACGTATCATTTTTCGCATTTCGAGATTCAATTATGTCTATTTTTTATCGTAAGTTTTTTATAAATCTTTTTAACTTTTTGAATTATCATGTGATTTATAGTACTCTTTACGTAGTTTTATAAATTTACAAATTTCATTTCAAAAAATTTGAAGATATCATACGTAAATGTCCGGTCAAAGTTAAACTGTTTGACTCTCGAAAAATGAAAAGTGCCACATAAAATGGAACAGAGAGGAAGTATATCCTACAACCATATCCTTGTAATACCTTGATCACATACCATAGTATTCATAGT